AATGGTATTCCAAAAACGGATATAACAGATGAATTATTACACTTTTACATTAACAATATATCACCAAACGTAGCAACTTTTGCTTTTCAACAAACAGAATATATAGAAATCCAGAAAATTCTTTATAACATAGAAACACATGCCATGGGAAGTGGATTGTTAAAATATAAAACTTCTCTTACATTGTTCTCCTTATATAATACCTTATATTACACACATAGTAAATGTCTGCATAGAACAAGGAACATTTCCTGACAAATGGAAAGAGGCCATTGTCATCCCTGTACCTAAAAAAGCTAATCCTCAAGAACTTAAGGACCTTAGGCCCATTAGTATTCTTTATTTAAAGTAATAGAAAAAGTTGAGAAAATATGCAGTTGAAAATAAATTGCTTCCTGAGGTACAGTCTGGATTTAGAGCAAATTACAGCTGCGAAGCAACCCTTCTCAATATCACAGATGATATTTTTAGTGCAACGAATCATAATAAGATAACTGTCTTAACTCTGTTATATTTTTCAAAAGCCTTCAACACTATTAACCTAATGAGCGCTATACTAAAATATTTTGGTTTCACAAACGGTGCGGTAGACTTAATTAGAAGCTACTTTAGCAACCGAAGTCAGTTAGTAAAATTAAAAGAAAGGGTTTCATATCCCTTAATTATATCATCAGGTGTACCTCAGGGATCGATTTTAGGACCATTTTTATATACTCTATATATACGTCAAATTTCGCAAACACTGCACTTTCCACTTTTATGCTGATGATACGCAACTTTACCACTCATTTTCAGACAATACTATTGAAAACACTAAAGTTATTAATACTGATATATCAAACCTTCTGAAGAGTGCATGTGATCATGGTCTAATCATAAATTCTTCTAAAAGTACAGCCTTAATATTTGGTCCACAAAAAAAAGAACCGAGGTTTTAAATTCAAATTTAATAAATATTAAAGTCCAGGATGTATCCATCTCTATAATAGTTACTGAAAAAAATTTAGGGGTTATATTAAATGAGAACCTAAATTTCACCGAACATGTAATAGTATATTACACACCGAGGTGGGAAGAGTTTCATTCCTGTCGTGAGATTAGTTAGATCACCGAAACGCGAAGCGTCGAGGTTAGCTATGATCTCGAGACAGGAATGAAACTTCCTTCCGAGGTTTGTATACTATTTTATTTACAAACATCATATTTTGATCAAAGTTAATAAATCTCTGTTTTGTTCTGAACATACCTAAAATATTACATTTAACGACAAATTACCAAGCGCGCGTTTCTCAGAATAATCGAGTAGGTAAATATATTGTTACTGTGATTACGGAATAAACAACTGTCACCAATATAAATAAATGTCAGATAAAGCCGCATATTAAATTCGCGAATAATAAATATCAATAAGTAGTTTGTTATATTTTAGATTATTATTGTTTTTTATTGTTTGCCATTAAATAGGTATTATAAAATTTGGCAAACACTGTGTTATTATTTTTTTTAAATATAAAAAATATTCATCTAGAATAGATGAAATGAGGGCGGGAAGTGAGGGCACATTAGTGTAGAGGTGTGTAATGTGACACTTCCCAACCTTCAATGACGTTAGTAATGACAACATTACACATATGGTTGTAAATAAATAATTGTATTCGCCGTGCGTATGCCATCTCAAAATTAATTTATCGGGAAAGACATAACTTAACAAAAAAAATTAAAAATAAATTTATGTGAAAACCTTGTATTATCACATTTTAATTATTGCGCTAGTGTGTACGGACCGTGTATAGATATAGTATAAATATAAGAAAAATACAAGTCATTCAAAATTCTTTTCTTCACTTAATATTTAGTACCAGAAGGAGACAAAGAATCTCTCATAAATTGAAAGAGGCCGGATGGTTAAATATGTGTGACCGACGCATTTTCTAAATAGCTCCCTTTATAATAAAATCTTACAAAATAAATGTCCAAGTTACTTATATAATAAAATACGCTCTAGATCAACAATACATTTTTTAAATACACGTAACAAAAATCTTATTAATACCCCAATGCATAATTCAGAAGCATTTAAAAGATCATTTAACTATCAGATAGTCAAAGTTTATAATAACTTGCAAAATAAATTCAAAAATATGCCTGTATTTACATTTAAAAAGAACCTCAAAAAATATCTATTATCTAAGTATTAATTAAAAGTGTTCCTTCAAATTAAAAATTAAAACATATATATGTATTTCATCTTATTAAATTTTCTTTCTTACTTCTACAATTTAAAATAATTACTCATTTATATCCATTTAATTTACTTCAATCAATGGTGACTTCACATTGTAATTAAACGCTCATGTAATAAAATATAGACACAATTATTGTTAGTTCAAAGTAACTACCTGTTCCATTCTCTAGTTTTTGGTACAATGAACTTATATATTTTTTTTTTCTAGCTTAAGATGAAAAACAGCTAATACGTCTTGTAGACGTATACAGCTGATCTTCAGTTTTTTTTTTATAATTATAGATATTCATTTAATGTAATTCACAATACAAACTTATATTGAAATTGATCTGTAAAATATGAAAATAAAGATTTTTATTATTATTATTATTATTATTATTATTATTATTATTATTATTATTATTATTATTATTATTATTATTATTATTATTATTATTATTATTATTATTATTATTATTATTATTATTATTATTATTATTATTATTATTATTATTATTATTATTATTATTATTATTATTATTATTATTATTATTATTATTATTATTATTATTATTATTATTATTATTATTATTATTATTATTATTATTATTATTATTATTATTATTGTTATTATTATTATTATTATTATTATTATATTGATGAGTCAACATTGTTTACATACGGTATAAACAATATGGGTCCCAAAATTGTACCTTGAGGAACTCCCATATTAATATCTAGTATATCAGAATTAATAGTATTGATTTTGTTGTCGTTTTGTACTTTTAAAGAAATATATTGCTTCCTAGCACATAAAAAGGTTAAGATAAAATTTAAAACAGTACCTCTGATTCCATATTTCTACAATATATTTATTAGCAACTCATGGTTTACACAATCGAATGCTTTGCTGAGATCACAAAAGAGAGGTATTCAGGTTCCTCCAAATGGTGAATAATTTTATTGTAAAATGAAAGCAAAGCAGTTGTTGTTGATTTTTTGGCACAGAATCCATGCTGATTTCCTGTTATAATGTACTACTTTTTCAAGAAAGACAGAAGACGATCAAGAAAGGCATATTCAAAGATTTTAGACAGACAACAGATCTGTAGTTTTCTGTTTGTCTACGATAATTTTTCTTGTGTAATGCTAAAACCTTCCAAAGTTTTAAAGCTTGAGGAAAACTGCCCATTTCAAATGATAAGTTTACCCAATATGTTAAAGCTTCAGAGAGAACATCTAATTCTTGTTTTAGTACAAAACATGCTACGTCATCGGCTCCAGAAGACCTTTTGTTTTTAATTTTCCTAAGTAATAAATTTAATAATTCTGTGTGCGAAAAAGGAGCGAGGAAAAAAGAATCTTTATTTGATGTGATTCCTTCGATGTTACTAGTAGGCTTTGTTGATATTTTCTCTACCAAATAACCAGGAGCATATTTAAAAAAACTATTAAACTCAACAGGTACCTCCCGTGGATCATCCAATAACATCCCGTCCTTTTCTATGACAATGGTTGGGACAGAACTTTGCCTATTCGTAATTTCTGATACAACATTAAAACAAGCCTTAATAGTATTGTCTGATCTTGGAATACGTTTTTGATAGTGTTCTTTTTTCTTTGATTGCAATAAAAAGAAATAGCTTTTCTTACGTTCTCTATATATTTCGGTAAAATGGGAATTGCATTTTTTAATACAGAAAGGTCTTTTAGTGATCGACTTGAGGCAGCAATTTCGGAATCTATCCAACTTTTTTTGTTTGTTGTTGTACTAGACATAACAGAAATTCATAGAAAATCTCTACTTTGACAAATAAATTTCTCAAATATTTCTTAATCGAAATTCTCATACTTTTTAACTCTGTTTATAAAATCACTTTTTATGATTTTTCTTTTTAAATTCACTAAATAAACAGGACACGTAAAAAGTAGGCAATTTTATTCTCCAAACCTTATACTTTATGCTGGTAGAATATTTATTTTATTACATTTAAATGCTAACGGAAATGGTGAATATTTGCTTCTTATTGTAAAAATACAGTGAAAGGGCGGTTCTAAAAAAAAATATTTCTTTTGTTGACCTACCCTGTAAGGACTAGTTTAAATTGGAAAATGCATGATTATTTAATAATTTAATAAGTATCTAGCAACAACAAATTTTACTCGATTACTCTAACCTTGAAACTATTATCAAGTGATATAAGTATTTAGCGATATACAAACTCATTGTTTATTTTAAGTGCCGCAATAAATCAAAGTATCTGATTAATGTACTTAAGGGCTTATTTGTATACTTTAATATGAATTAAAAAAAAAAAAACTTATACTCCAATTTGCTTTCAACCAGCCGATTAGCATAGGCGTACCAAATTCTTCTACGTTATAAAATATTTTATATTCTCAACATTGTATACGTTTTCATATTGTTTTTGACAAGAAATTAATGGAAAATCGAATGAAAATAATTACGAAAACCAGAGTAGTTTAAATTGAAAAAAAAATAGAAAATGTTGTGGCGGTGTGCAATACTTTAAGTTTCGTGCAATTTTTTATTTCAATTTTCATGCAAACCGCTTTCTGCCTCACACAAGAAAGTATTGTAGAGAAAAGAATAATTGAGAGCATTTCGCAAGAAAATACGTATGAAAATGTTAAAATAGAAAAAGAAAAAGAAAGTGATATAACAATACAATATGTCTTGAATCATGATTTGGACAATACTGGATACCACCATTACAATTTTCGTAGTAAAAATCTACATTAAACTTGTTTGCAGAGTGTAAAGCTACTGCAGCAATTTAGTCTACTGAAGAAAAAAAGTAGAGAACAGCCATGAAAGAAGAAATAGGACCTAGTTCTTTTGCTGGCAAATAAAAGGTTGTTTTAAAGTAAGTGTGTACATATTTAAAATAAAACAAAACGCAGATGAAAATACAAAGCTAGAGTGATAGCTAGAAATTCGGTATGAAGTATGATGAAACATTTAGTCCTGTGGCAAGGTATAATACTGTCAGAATAGTCCTTAATGTAGCTGGAGTTAAACTTCTAAAACTGCTAAAATTTGCAGGAGGAAATTTAAATGAAGCATCCAGATGGATTTGATGGTCATACAGAGGTAGAGTATGTAAACTGAAATGTATGGCCTAAAACAGTCTTTGCGATGCTGATACAAGCCTTTTGTGGATTTCATCAGCTGACCCATGTTGATTTTTAATGATAGCTGTAGGTATTTTTGTAAATCAAAGTGCATATATAACAAAAATGAAGTTTTCCATTGCTATGTACACTTTTTAAAATGAATTTTAAACCTTTTTTACATGATCAATGCATTTTCTTCAATGTTCTCGATTTACATTTTCAAAAACAAAATTTTGCACATCAGGTAATTTAAATGTTGTATTGTTTCGAGAAAGATTACCTTTTAATTGTGACCAGATCAGTTCAATGAGATTTAACTCTGAGACTTTCACTTCATTTTTCTCAGGCCATTTTATCTATAATATATTTGTTGAATTTGTTTTGCCTTGCTATTACGAGTAATTTTGCCTCCAACGATTTGGGAAAACTGATAATATTTTTAGGATGAAGTCATTTTGAAATATCTTCTTTTTCCGTCTTGTTTCTTGGTAGTGATTTCTTTAATCGACTGTGATAGGGATAGGATACATTATCCAAAACAATAACGGAGTTGGCTGCAGTTTTTTTATAATGTTCTGAAATCAATTTTCAAATATAGGCCATCCATTTCTTCATGGTAGTCTTTTGTTTTCTTTGACTCAAACATTGATATACTATCTGGCAAGAATCCATCGGTGCTTTCAACGATTTTCTTTTCCTATTGGATTATATAATCCACAAGAGACCCCTTCCATAAACGCTTTATTTTCTAGTTTTAATAGATGTATCTTGTAAATTTTTGTTACTGTCCAGCATTATTTCATGTTTCATCGAAATAAATTGCCTCCCAAGTAATATTTTTAAAAGAATAAAGTTTTATTTATGTTTTATTAGGATTTTGTAAAAGCATAAAAATTAACAATTATTTTATTAGTTATTTTTTTGCTAATAGGACTGCAGGATAAATTGATCTTATTACTTGGTTTTATAGATTCCTTTAAATCTGTTTAAGAAAACTAGTTTATCCTAAAATAAACTATGCTTTATCGCTGTTCTGTAAGGGTTAATTAATAAGTAATTTTAGAACTATTTAGTTTTAAGATACTCCTAAGGCGTGTTTGATGTTAAAGAGGCATACTTTTTAGCAGTTATCTAAAAAGTGTTTTAGGATTATACTTTAAATTAAATTGATCCCAGAACCTTTTAGGTACATTTTCTACAATTTTACAACTTAACTCTTATAATTTATTTAATCTAGTAAACCAGGGCTCTTTTAAAACTACATAGTTTTAATAAGAACTAAAGTTTGTTTTAGAGCATAACCTATCTTTTCAACCCATTCACATTATGTTGACTTTGAAACTTAAATTGTTCAAAATAAAGAAAAGTGGTAATTTCCATAGAGAATAAAAAAGAAAATGTATATGTTTCTCCTTCTCCTCAGTGTTTAATAAGTTCATCGTGTTCCATTGTTTAACAAATATCAAACATTCCTAGGCTCCTAATATTATGGAAATGATCAGTGAAAGAGAAAAATGGTTAATATATTATTACTAATTTTTATATTTTGAATGAGTTGTCCGTAGAGTAAATAAGAAGCTCAAGAGTGAGGTTAGGTTATGCCTGTCTGATTAAAAGCATGAATGTTTTATTGAAGTCTTCGTTTTTACTATTGTTTTATGAAAAGCTTTAAAAAGTGTAGCAGGAGATTTTTAAAACTGGAAAGTCCTAAAAAGTATTTTTTTTGCTTTATTAGTTTTATAAGCTAATGTCCGTTTTTAGGTACAGATAGACCACAATGAGGAAATCCTCCATTTTAAATATGGCAGTGGCTGTTTAACCACATATCATGTAAAATAGTATCTGTCTACCAGATCTGTACCTAAAGGATATTCAAATAAATGATGATCAAAATTCAAATAATTCTAAAATCTTTCGATTTTGGTAATTACGTATTTTGTGTATCAAAGACAGTGATAGTGTGTCAATGACAACAGTGTGTTAATGACAACAGTGTGCCAATGACAACACTGTGCCAATGACAGTAGATTTATTATTTATGATTGTGTTTATTGGGTTTAACCACATAATGTCAAATTTGTCAAACATATCTACTGCTAATTCCTTTTAGGGTATATAAATGTAATTTATATTGGAATATGCTGTGATATAATGCTATACAACTCTTGCCTCGCCTAAAGTAATTTATGAATAAACACAAAGTTTGTTTCTGATAGTCCAAAGACAAATCTACAATAGGATTTATATTGGCGGTTAAATAGTCACCTCCATGAAATAATTTGAAAACACACAGTGTGATATTTTATATGAAAAACATATCGAAGACAAATGTAATCATTTTATAGAGCTATATATTCGATATTTACAATGTTATTTTCTTTTAAATAACTTTCGGTAAATAGATTAGAATCCGTATATTAATCCTTTTTCACGTATATTTCATGTATTGTAAGGCCCATCATTTATTACGACCCACCTTGCCCTCTTGTAACAGTACTTTGGTGAGTGTTTGAAAATTAAAGAAATAACAAGTGTGACAACTATACAAATTAAACATACACTATATAATAATTAATTTCTAATATGACAGTCTTCCCAACATGTTTGTAAATTCATTTTGTCAGAGAATATGATAAAACAGAATAAAGCTAAAACAGTTTAAAACTTAATTCTCTTAAAACTGATTAGTTTTGTAAAGTTTTTATGCCTATCCCACTTATTATCATAACCTTAAAAAAAGATTTAAAAATGGTTTAATAAAATTCTTAATATACTCTTAAGGACTTTGTCTTAAGTAAAATTAGTCTTAAGACATTGTTTTAAAAATACTCCTAAGAACCGTTATAAGATTCTCCCTTTTACTCTTAAAGCAGATATATAGCAGCCCTATGGCTATCTCGCAAGTTCAAAAGTTTTATCAGTGTTTATTACCGAATTTATTCCATTTGGCTGTTCCACACTGTATATAATAATGTGTGTCCCCTCCTGGACAAATTCCTGTGCACGCCCATGCATGTTTGTCATACATGCCTTCGCGTGGCCGTTTGCCAGTGTGTGGTAAAAAAATTAGCACAAGTTTATCATATTATTCTTCAATGCTTAACTTGTACTTTTAATCCTTTATGGCAATTCCAAATTTTTAAAATTCTTATGTACAAGGTTAAACGTGCAGAGTTAAACGTGCAAACTTAAACGGGTAAGTCTAAGCGTGCATAACATTATCGGTGTGTGGCAAAGTAGCACGCCTCGTGAGCTTTCAGTCGATTTCACAAGACGTACATACGGCACTTTTCAAAAGATTATAGTAAATTTCGTTGATCTTTATAAAAATGTTGTCCTCGCGGTTATTCTAGTTTACGGAAAACCAAAAGTATGACCATAAAGACCAAAATAAAAAAGATGCAGCTCATAAAGTTTTATTTAAAAAAAAAATCAAGAAATTGAAATATGCCTACTTCTAGAAAATTAACATGGATGTAATCTAAGCATTTTGTCATAAATTGTGAATTTTTAACGAACTTATTTATTTTATTTTTTTGTTAAAACAGCGTACGCCGCTGCTAATATAGAAATTAGATGCTTACCTAATCATCCTGACCTCGAAAAAATTATATCTCATATCTTAGATTATTATATCTACCGATATATAAAAAGGAAAATTATCGAAATATTTAATAGTTCAAAATGGAAATTAACAAGATAAAGGTTGTATTAGAAGTAATTCTAAAAGATCTTAATAAAATAAATTGTGCAAATCATAGGAATTTTAATAATTTAAGTGATTTACATAATCATGTCAATGGAAATGGAATAGATGTAGAAAAGTTGAAATGTGGTGTTAAGAAATTAATAAGTGATTTTGAAGAAGAGAATATTAAAGAAGATAGTACTAAAAATTTAATATTTGACTGTTTATTAATAATATATTCTAATACAACACATTCTCAGAGATTCTGTGAGATACACAATATTTTAGAGCACTTTTATAATAAATTAGTTCAAAGATGGTTAGAACTTGAACAAACAGCATCAATCATCACATTCAAAAAATTTAATCAAGTTGTGAGAAAACTAATCCCTTTCGTTAAACTATCAATAGTCAGTGAACAACTTACATCAAAAGTTGATATTAAACAAGCTCTGCAGGAGTTAAACGAGGTTATACTCTATCCAAACATATCCAGAGAAGATTGTTATGAAATTATAAGGAATAAATTTGGAACAACCAATGTAGATTTTGTGGATTTTAAAGTTGAACCAGTGAATGAAAGATTCGGCGTTATGGCAGATTATTATAGGCTTAAAATAAACATTAAAGAAAACGGAAAACTAAATACACAACATTTCTTTGTAAAATCTTTATATTCACAAAAGGATGAGATGAGAACAACCTTCACAAGAAATGTTTATATAAAAGAACAAATGTTTTACACCGAATTCATTCCTCTTTTAAGAAAATTTGCATTAGATGAAGTGCTAGATTTTTTACCAATTTGTTATTTTTCAAATGACAACTTTATGATATATGACGATATTTCTGTTGAAGGTTACAGTAATATAGATGTCCATACAACGTTAAGTTACGAACAGTTATCATCCATATTTAAACTGATGTCTAAATTACACTCAACTTCTATTTTATTCGAAGAAAAACTATCGGAAATATGTGGCAAACCTGTTTATTTAAACGACTATTTCAAAAAGATGGTGGCTGATCACTTTTTCACTAAAGAAGGGGGATTTGGTGAGTTTTTTGACTGCTCTTTACGCACCTGTCATCATATTTTCAATAAGATTCCCGAATTTTTTAAAAATAAAAATATTGATAAATTTAAACAACAACTTTCTACTATCTTTGAAGATTGCTACGAAAAAGTTAAACCGTCAAAAGTGAGCCGTAATTTTTTGTGTCACGGTGATGCTTGGATAAATAATATTTTATTTAAGAAAAATTCTCTAGACTGCTTGTTATTGGACTATCAGGTTTTGAGGTATTCGTCTCCTGCTTTAGACATTCTATTTATTTTATACCTTCATACAGATAAAAAAACCCGTAATAATTTGGGTACCAAACTTTTATATGAATATTATACAAACCTAAAACAAAATGTAGAAAAATATGGAGTTAATATCGACAAAATTTATTCGTATGAAACTTACCAAAAATCTTTAGAAGAATTTAAACCAATGGCAATGATAATGGCCCTCTCTTACATGCAGTTGACTTTGTTGCCAAAAGAAAAAACTAAATATATCTTTGAAGATGCAGTATTGGGTGAAAAGTTCCTGACAGAAGATCGAACAGATCTTATGGATAAATTTTGGGATGAAATGGACGTAACTAAGTTAAAAGATGTTTTTGAAGAATTATATATTTCGTTAAATAAAAAATAAATGTAAAATATTTAAAAATCTGTAAAATAAATGATTAAAGGAATTCATTGTATAAATATTTTTTTTAATAGATGCATTGTTATGATTCTTTATTTTTATTTTAGATTATTTTTAAAATAAACGACGGTTTATTCTGTTGACTTATATTTGAGTTATTTTGAGTTAACTATATCCAGCTTTCATCAACATTGTTGCCGATGGCTTAAGAGCAAACCGAACACCTTGAAAAATTTTAAAAGGATTTTACGACTTTATTTTTAGTTCGATTTTTGTGAAATTTTCAAGAAGTACTAATAATTACCAAACTTAGGGTGGGTAATTCCTGAACTTTTTTAAACCTACGAAAAATATTTATTTTATTGATTTTTACTTTCCTATCGGTATACAGATATAAGGAAAGTATAGGATTCATGATTTTTTTCGACCTCGAGTTTTCGACGGATTTTTACGTTTTGAGGTCCCCTGAATCCGTTTTGACTATTTTCGCGATGATGTCTGTGTGTGTGTCTGTGTGTGTGTGTCTGTAGGTCGCATAACTCATGAACCGATACACAGAAGAACACCAAATTTTAAAACTAAGCTTTATTCCAGCGTCTAATGAACTGATTAGATTTTGGGCAGAGTCGGAACATCTGGGGGGGTACTTTATAGGTGGTCATTTTTATATTTTATGGAATATATCTGTTATTTACGTTTGGAGAAGAAAATTCTTTAAATAAAAGTTACTTCTAATATAATTATCTATAATTTTTGTTTTATACAAAATTTTCCTAAAATAGTCCGTATTCGAGAAATTTGACAAAATGTAAAAAAAATAATTTTTTATAAAAATTGTTCAAATAAAAGTTGTTTGTTATATAATTCTCTATAATTTTTATTCTATACATAATTTCTCTAAAATGGACCGTATTCGAGATATTTGAGAAAATGTGTAAATTTCGAATTTTGAAGAAAACTCAAAAACGGATAAAGAAAAAAACATTAAATTTTAAACTTAAGGTTTATTTCGGCCTGACGTGAAATTATTAGATTTTGAACAAAGTCGGAACATATGGGGGGGTACTTTATGGGAGGCCGTTTTTATATTTTATGGAATATATCTGTTATTTTTGTTTGGAGACGAAAATTGTTCAAACAAAAGTTACTTCTAATATTATTATCTATAATTATGTCAAAATTTCCTGAAATGGTCCGTATTCGAGAAATTTGACAAAATGTGCAAAATTCTGATTTTTATGAAAATTGCTGAACTAAAAGTTGTTTGCGATATCGATCTCTATAATTTTTGTTTATACATGATTTTTCTAAAATGGATTGTAATGGAAAAGTAGTAAATTAAAATTTTTCAGTATTTTCGTTTTCAATGAATATCTATAGAAAAATGTTTTGAGGTAGATGTATGTGGCCAATGTATATATTAATTTATCCTCTAAACATTTATAGAGATGCTGCAATAGGTTGTACAAAATAACCGGAAAAAGCCTATAATAACTAGATAGGAAAGTCATGTGTTGGACACATCAGATTTTTAAACGGAAAGTATTAATTTCAGATCATAAATAGTGCAAAATATAAAAACACTTATCTTTATAAATATAATCTATATATGTAATAAAATATAGGATATTCAATAGAAAAAAAATATTTTTTTTAGTTAAAAAGCATTTTAAAAAAGTAGCACTACGACATTATGGAGATACGCATACGAAATTTGAAAATACCGGGTGGCACAAAATTGATCGAAAAACATTTGATCGAAATGGAAATTTGATCGAAAATACATTTTGTTGAATGGCATTTGATCGAAAATACATTTGGTCGAATAACATTAGTAGATGGGATTAGCCAGTTCTGGACCAAGGTCAGAGGCAAGGTCAGAGGCAATTGGTGTAATTAGTAATTACCCTAAGTACCCACCCCCCACCCTTCGAGCAAGTACCCCCCACCCTTCGAGCAAGTACCCCCCACCCTTCGAGCAATTAGCAAGTACCCCCCACCCTTCGCGCAATTAGCAAGTACCCCCCACCCTTCGCGCAATTAGCAAGTACCTCTGAATTACTCTGTACACCATGTTATTGCATAGTGTAATGAGTGTAATTGCATAGTGTAATGAGTATAGTAAGTACCTCTCAGTACACATAGTGATGTAAGGACCAACCAATTATTCTGTACTGAGTGTAATTGCATAGTGTAATGAGCATAGTAAGTACCTCTCATTACACCATATGCATACCTCTCAGACAGTATTTACTGTGTATATCACGTAGTGTAATAAGTCTAAGTACTTCTCTTGTTTACTGTTGTAGCATAGGGGAAATAAGTCGGCGCCATGCACACCCTTGACTCTCAACCGCCATAGCTAAAGTGAATCACCGGTCTTCGGCAGACACGCGCGATGTAAATATTGTTGGAAGGGGTAGTATCCCACCCTTCGCGCAATTAGCAAGTGCCTCCCAATTATTCTGTAAATTATATACTTTAATGAACGTAATTGAGTAGTGTAATGAGCATAGTAAGTACATCTCATTACCTCCTAGTGATTACTATGTATTTAGAATTTACGTTACTCTATACCGAAGTAACAAGAATTGGAGCTGTTCCCGTATATTATGAATAGGGGAGGGGAGCATAGTGGAGGTGGGGATTTATTGAGAGGTATATAATATCACATCTATACGAATGAGATCAGTCGCGAGCTATAAGTGCGTTGGAAGTTTCATTATCTAATATCGAAATAATCATAAAAATAGTAGATATGTATAAGTGTAATTGCGGTTTAACATTTACAAGAGCAGATAATTTACGACGACATCAAAATAAAAGTTGTAATCTGATATCTAACCGCAATGGTGAATCATCCAGCGGTACGAAAAGAACCGCCAATTCAAGCCCGGATGTTTTACCGGTAAAACAAGCTCGTGTAATGCGAGTTTCACATCGTACCGTAGACCCACAAGTTCATAAAAGTAGATGTGAATCATGTAATGTAGACATCGCAACCAATCAGATGACATCACATATGAGGAGTCTTAGTCATAAAGAAAAGGCATGCACAATTCATGTCGATGGTATATATTTAATTAAGAGTGCATTTAAGTGCAGAATCGCAAGTTATAGAGTCAAAAGTGATGAAAAACATATAGACTATATAACATTTTTTGAGGCTATAAAAGTGAGGGTATTGGAATTGTTGAAAGTTGTTCTGAGGGCCCATAATGCCATTAAAGTTAATGTAGAGGTCTTCGCTACATATGTATTGCAGAGCCAAGATAATTCTGAAATCAAATCTTTCAATAGCATAAATCGAATACTAGATTTGCCGACGGATTTGGATGTGGTATATGCAAACTTTAAGGACGCCTTGGTATCTCAAACCGTAGACTTCCAACATAAAGATTCAGGTATAGTAGTTATATAATATATAATATATCGGTAACTAATAAATTATTCATTGTTTCAGGTTGGTCATTACAGGAAGTACTATTTCTAGAAGTTAATATAAATAAGTACTCTCCGTTAGGAGGCTGCTCATACATAAAGCTGCCTAAGTTTATTGAAACCAAGAAGGGTGTAGTGAATGTGCAGAATAATGATGCGTACTGCTTTGCTTGGGCCATCACATCAGCTCTATATCCAGCCAGAGATCATGTTAGCCTAATGTCATCGTATCCACACTTCGAGACCGTGCTGAATGTTGATGGCATTGAATTTCCCATGAAGCTTAAAGACATTTCAAAATTTGAAGACCTCAATGATATAAGTGTTAATGTTTATGGCTTGGAACATAGTTATGAAAATGGTAAGGCTAAATTTGAAATAGTAGGCCCATTACGATATTCCCGTAGAAGGTTAGGGCATCATATAAATTTACTGCTAATAACAGAAGATTCCGGTAATAGTCACTATTGTTGGATTAAAAGTATATCCAGATTAGTTTCGAGTCAAATAACTAAAAATGGTCATAAAAAATTTTTTTGTGACGGGTGTTTACTTTATTTTCCATCTGAAAGCGTCCTATTACGTCATCAATTGTGCGATTGTAATCATATATATACCAGTACACCATCAGTGGAGCTTAAAAAAGACAAACGCGGTAATTATGTCCCCGAAAATATACTGAAGTTTCAAAATTATGGTAAGCAACTAAGAGTCCCATTTGTAATTTATGCCGATTTTGAATCGATCCTAAAACCTATAGATCATTGCGAACCAGATCCGGAAAAAAAATTCACCATCCCTACATACCAACATGAGCCATATGCTTTTGCATATCTGATTAAATGTTCATTTGATGATTCATTGACGAAATTTGTAACTTTTACCGGCGATAATGCCGCGAGCGATTTCGTAAAACGCTTAGAGGATGATGTATTAACTATTTATAATACTCATTTAAAAGACATTGTTCCAATGCAGCGACTGTCTAAAGATGAAATAGATGATTTTAACACATCGACTATATGCTCTATTTGCGATGAGACCTTTCAAGAAGGCGAAGTTAAAGTAAGAGATCATTGCCATCTTACCGGTAAGAAAACACCCGGCGCCGCGCATAGCAATTGTAATTTAAATTATAAAATCCCGCAATTTGTCCCAGTATTTTTCCATAATTTGAGTGGGTATGACAGCCATTTATTTATTAAAGAATTGTATGGGGAAGGTGAGAGAGCCGAAGTTATTGCCCAAAATAAAGAAAAATATATTTCGTTCACAAAACCATTGTACACCCATAGCTATGTAGATAGAGACGGTATTTTGAGAAAAAATTACATAAAACTCAGATTTTTGGATAGTTACAGATTTTTAGCGGATTCCTTGGTTGGGCTGTCGGAAAACTTGCCATCAGAATTTTTTGTTGAAACAAGGAAATGTTTTGCAGAAAAAGAAAAATTTGATTTGATGAGACAGAAAGGGGTGTTTCCATATAATTTCATGGATAATATATTGAAATTAGATCACCCAAATTTACCCTCAAAAGATGAGTTTTATGATAAGTTAAA